AAAAAAAAAAAAATACAAATACAAAAATTAGAAAAAGAAAGCATATCTTCCAAATATTTCTATTTCCTATTGACTGTCATCCATATAGTCACTTTCCTAAGGACAATATTATGAGCATGGGATAAAAACTTCAATTTTGAATGACAAATAATTTGTTTGAGGCCTAAGAGGGGAGTGCAGAAAGTATGTGGCACACAAAAATGCAGCTAAGATGACAATCACAAAGAGCTTCAAACCTTTTTAGAAAGGGAACTCTCTAAAAACTAGTACTCAATCAAGTTGCAGAAAATAATTTCCAAAAAATGATATATAACACAATTCGTTAATCTATAGAAGAAAATAACTCACCATTGAAAAAAGGAACTTATTTTCTAAGAAAATGAGTATCAACTCTATTAAAATACTTTACTTCTCATGTATAAATTAATAATTTATTTCAACTATAATTTTCATATAATTTCCACCTTGACTTGCTGTTAGAGAAACAAAATATTTGGAAATGAACAAAATATTGCATACCTGAAGTATTTGAAGGAGATTATCTACTTCTTTGCATTCTCGATCAATTAGTAAATTTAGCTTTATACACTTTATTTTGTTGTAATAAATTAACTATGAAAATTAGTACTTAAAACCAAAAAATGTTGATATAAAACCATCAAAAACATTATCCATGATTCACTAAAAGAAATTTTAACTAGTCAACACAAACTAATATTTCATATTCAAAACCCAATTAGTGACATATCAGATAGTGAATCATTGCATCTTAAGTTTAAAAATTTTAAAAGACTAAATGGGAAATCTTAATTCCTTAGAGCTCGTCGAGTTTGGTATTCTTCAAACATTTCCATAGCTAAATTATCTCTGAAGTGCGACCATTCATCAGTGACTCTCACAAAGGTTATATTATCTCTATCAATCTCATTTTCAAGTGTAACCTCTTCATGCTCTTGATGGGAATCAAAATGACCCCACATGTACAACGTCAAGAGATCCATTACACATTCCAAGAGATCCAGTCATGAGAGCTAGAGCTAGGAAGATGCGAAAAGCTTTAAATGGCCTTATGAAGTAGATCTGGGTTGATAACAACATGCAACAAGTAAATCGAAACTTGGATGATTATCAAGGCATGTTAAACATCATTCAGGTTCAAGAAAAGTTTAATTAAGGTCATTTATGCTAAATTACACAGTTTGCGTCAAAATCCCACAATTCTGTCACAATTGTAACAAACTGATATTTTATGTTACTTTAGGTTACTTTCGGTGATTTTCACATTGTTTGTATTATTTTGGGTTGAACATTTATTTATTTGAGGTTCAATTCGTGGTTATTAGGATTATGGCTTAAAGTATGAGTTTCCTATTCTGATTAGAATTATTTTTCCCTATTTAAAGGGCTTGTAACCCTAATTGGGGGCAGCTATTGAATCTAAGTTTTTGAGAGACTTTTCTCTTTGGTTCATTTTAGAACTTTATAGAATTTATCAAGATTATTCTTGTGGTGTTCTAACCTAACTTATCATTCTAATTCTTAATCATCGAGGGTGGTGGCGTCAACCAACTTTATACCTCTGGTTCTTGTTGCGTCATAGACAACGGGTCAAGGTTTTTACCTTTGATTTTTCTTGTGACATAAACAACGAGTCAAAGTCCTATTATAAACCTGATTTAGCTTTCTTGGAGTTTAGAAATCCCTTGTTGTGGTGTGGATCTCATTGTTCTCTTTGGGGTTCTCATCAGCTCTTCATCCCCTTCTCTTCATAAATCTTTTTGCACCATTTCATCTCGTATAAAGTCGTGTAAGATAAAACATGCATTGATTATTCTAATTTGAGTGTTCACATCATAAAAGCAAACATGGCATACAATTACTTATGTCTTCCTTATTAACCCAAAGCCACGTTCAATTGTATTCCTTGCAGTAAAGTGTCAAAGGTTAAACAACTCCTTGTAATTAGTTGGAGTGTTTCCTCTCCACAAATTTAGATGATATCTAGTTCCTTTATAAGAAGCCAAAAATCCTTGACCATTTGTGTAGTCGAAATCCACAAGATAATACATATCTACATAAAAAAATAATAAAAGAGAACCAAAATTGTCAAAAGTCAAATTTATATAAAAAGTTAAAAATAGTAAAATTAACTTGAATTAATAATACTTATTTTGTGGAACTTTTAAGCTATTGCATCTAGTCAAAGCATCATGTAAAACATGAGAATCTGATGTTAATCCTTCCCAATCGGCCAGCACATAAGTAAACTTCAAATTAGCATCACAAGCTCCCAAAACATTTGTACTCAAGTTACCTTTTCTATCTTGATATTTTCCTTGCTCACTAGCAGGTATAGTGATCTCAATAAGGGTTCCATCAAGTGCCCCAAGAGCTCCTTCGAACCATTTCCACTTATCATCTGCTTCATAGAGGGATACACTATATTGTTTAATGTAAAACTTTTCAATTTTCATCATTGCTAACAGAATAACATGAAATTGTCTACTGATTGTTTTCAATGAATGAGCAAAAATACTTCTGATTATACTATTTTTAAGGTCATGAATAGGAATATGCAAGAAAAGTGCCACAATTTCCTTAATTGTCACATATCTTGTGGCCACTAGTCCACCTTTCTCCACAAAAGCATCACACAATTTCTTAAATGCTTGCTTAGTAACATGTAGTTGATGCAGGCAAACTTTTTCATTGTCTAATAATCTAATCCATATCTTGCTCTGATAAGTCCTTTCATCTTGATCACATAATTGAAGTCCTCTATACCTATGCTTATGACAATAACAAATAACAACAAGTATAAGAAAGAACTTCATAAGCAATAAACAAAACTCCATATCTTCTTGCTCATTTTCCTTAATTTTCTCTCGAGGACGTTTATGTTGAACTGACAAACCATTGTCACCATAAACCATGTTTGCCTATAATAGTTTGATTTATAGTATTATCAAAAGTAAAATGTCTTTTATTTATAAGCTAACAAAAAAGAGTAGATGAAAAAAAAAAGCTAAAATCAAAAAGGTAGTTATAATGAGATAAACTATCTTACTTGTAAAACAAAAGTTTCCATGTATTTTTGTAATATTTGGAAGATACTTGAACTTGATCACCTTTGGAATTTCTATAATTTAAGAAAAGAGTCAGTGCTATAGGTGCAAATCCAATAAACACCAACACTATCAAAAAATGAATAAAGAATCTTCAACCCAAGTACCATATCAAACACTGCAATCCATCATAATTGGCAGTGAATTTGAATCTTCAAATTCTAGAAAGACTATTTGGGTTAGTTACGTATAAGTCTATCTGATTTTGTTTGCAAAAATCATCTTAATGCTTGGTTTTGATGGTGCAAACTTATTACTTTATGAATTATGTATCATGTTTTTTAGTGACAATTTTCCTTTAGGTATATTTTGGAGTTTGTAGTGATGCAACTAGAATTGCTATTGAGCAGCAAGTTGTGATTGAAGCTACTTTTGATTTCCTTGATGAGTTAAGATGGTACCCTTAGGTACGTGCATGTCTTTTAACTTCTTAATTACAATAACACATTGCTATGCTTTGTGGATCACCATTTTCCTTTTGTTCCTTATTTTTGAACATTTCTTTACTTTGCTTCAACAGGTACCCATTATTCCTACAAATGGTGGAATTACACATGTACGAAAGGTAGCTTCACAATTGATTTACTTAGTTATCTCTCACAACGATTTCATAATTACATATGAACCTTTTTTCTTTAAAGAATGCTTAAAGTTACTATTACTCTTACTACTACTTGAAATTAGAATTCTTTGAACTGACTTCTTGAGTTATGTTTTTTAAGTTCATTCTTGCTAAAATGAATTTATATCATTATGTCAATATGTTCTCGAATATCTGGAAGACATTGCCTTGAGAGAAATTTTATTTTCATTTTAGTTGGTAAGTTGGTTAGAAATTTCATATGCTACCACTTTCATTCTTGATCTGTTTCATCTAATCCTATTTTTAACCCTGCGTAGACTTCTCTTATAGTTGAGGAGATAAGAGAGTCATGTAATTTAGATTCATGAAGAGAGTCACCTTTGAAATTTGAATGCTTCTTCTGAATTACTCTAACTTAAGGTAGTACTTATAAGCGATAACTCAACTCAAGTCAGTTTAAAACTAAATAAAGAATTAAGAAAGAATCAATCCAACCAGCTTTATGCTTTCTTGTTTTAAAATTTTCAAAATAGGATTTTGTTTTACCATTCTTTTATATTTCTTGTGACA